TCTAATAATTTCAAGGATTTATTGGGCATGCTTACACCTTAATTTTTCTGTTTGAATTGAATTTTAATTCATCAGAGTCAGAGAAAAACAAATACAAGAACAGCTGAGACAGATTGAAATTGCCTTAGATTTATATATTAGAGGGAGGGATTTGACATCTTATAAAATGGAATTGTCTTATCTACAAACAATGTAACTCTCTCCATTTATTTAGGTCTTGTTTTGGGCTCATCAATGCAATTTTAATTATGTTGAGGCTTAAGTTTTGATTTTTCTAGTTTTGCTTTGTTATGTTTGAGACTGGCCCTCTTCCCTCAAAGCAGGCAGAGGCAGCTTCAGAGTTTTGTTAAACACTTTGAGATACTTCCTGTTTTAAAGTCATTCAAACAGCCCTGAGAAATGAGAGTGGGCATCTCCATCTTACAGGTGAGGAAAGAAGAAAGGAAAGTGATAGTTTTGGGGCCAGGTGTGGTGGCTCATACCTGTAATCACGGCAGTTTGGGAGGCTGAGGCAGGTGGATCGACTGAGGTCAGGAGTTCAAGACCAGCTTGGCCAACATGGCAAAACACTGTCTCTACTAAAAATACAAAAATTAGCCAGATGCAGTGGTGACGCCTGTAATCCCAGCTACACAGGAGGCTGAGGCAGGAGAATCACTTCAGCTTGGGAGGTGGAGGTTGCAGTGAGCTGAGATGGCGCCACTGTACTCTGGCCTGGGTGACAGAGCGAGACTGCATCTAAAAATAAATAAATAAAGAAAGAAAGAAAGAAAGAAAGAAAAATAAAGAAAAATAAAAAAGAAAGTGATAGTTTTAAACATCTATGGATCAGACATGTGGGTATTTTTATTTTAAGTAACTCTGTTATCCCCATTTTACAAATGAAGAGGCTGATGGTGAGAGAAGTTAAACTGATGTGGCCAAGGCTCCCAATAACTGAAGATAAAGGGCTCAGACTCAGGGCTTGGGAGTCAGTGTTAGATGTTCTAATGGCCAGTGGCCATTATGTCCCTCTGGTGCTGTCTCATCCTCTCTGTACTTATCATTTGTCTCAATAAAGTTGACCCCAGCCCAATTGTTCTATTTCCTGTGGCAGGCTACCATCCCCAAGTCTAGTTTCTGGTCCTAATGCAGCCCTTCCCAAAAGCCAGTCACAGTGGCTTGGTCTGTTCCATTGCTGTTGAATATGGTCTTGATACTCAGATGCCTGATTACAGAGAGTACTTGGGAGGAAGCCCAGGGTGGAAAGATTGATGGAGGCCAAAAATTCTCTCATGCATCTGAGCCTTGCTGTTCTGTTATCTGGCCGCAAAAGCTGAGGAACCTCAAAACCAGGTTAGGTTGTCAGGTTCATTACTACATTACCTAAGGGAGCTATGCAAGGGATGAGAATCAGAGTGACCAGGAAAAGGCCAACCTGGAACTGCCTTCCCATTGGGCATCCTCATCCTGGAAAGAGCCTCCCTCCCAGCAGCAGCAGCCTCTGCCATCAGTAGGGTTGTCAGGTGCTGTGTTGGTCCTGAGTTTGTAAATAGATCTTTCTTTAATAAAGGATTTAACATTGACCCTTTGTCCTTTTTACAGTAGGATATCATATGCTTACTTTTCTCAGTTTTTCCATAGTAGGCACTTGGGTGAAAAGGCAGAAATTTAACTTCTTCCTGATTTTGTGTGTATGTGTATCAATATTTGTGTTTATTGCCTCTCTAACATCTTGATGGAATGGATCCTGCTGCAGAATTTGGGTTCTAGGAGAGACCCCTGTAGCCTACTTGTCCCAAATTCTGTCTGCATGAAAGTCAATGTCTGAATGGAGCCAAAGGATTCTCGAATATCCTTGGAGGGCAGAAGGGAAAGTGGGTTGTGTGGGGCTCCAGGTTCCAGATGGTTCATGTTCCCTTGAAGCAACTGTTTCTTTCATATATTGAATCTTTAAATTGTATTTCCTTAAATAAAATTCCTTTGCTCTTAAGTGGAAAAGATTGAAAAACTGGCCTGTACCACCTAGGAGGGACTTATGTTCTCTTCTGAAAGAATTCTAGAAATGAAAATTTAAGCCCATTCTACTCTCTTTCCTAGACTGTTTGGGTAGTGATAGTTTGGGATGGAGGCTGGTCTGAGTGACTGAAAACACTGGATATAGGATTTATTATTTTTTTAAATTTAGCATTCCTAAAGCATCTACCCACCAAGGTTGTCATGCAACTCCATGATGATACCCCCTGGAGTGAACCAGTGCAATGGCTTCACATGATCCTGTGCATAATACTACATTGAATGCCAGGAAGTAGGGGTGCCCGGTGGCAAGACAGAGAAAGTAGATAGGTCTCTTGCCCTTTGGGTGTATTAGGATCTATTTAAGGAAACAGTCCTTAGCTGTTAAGCTTTGGGGGGGTCAGTATGTAACACTTAACTTCCCTGTCCATGATCAGAACCAACTGAGAGAGATAAAGGAATCATGCCAATATAGCAGGGGTCCCCAGCTCCCAGGCCACAGACTGCTACCAATCCATGGCCTGTTAGAAACTGGGCCACATAGCAGGAGGTGAGCGGCAGCTGAGTGAGCATTACCACCTGAGCTCCACCTCCTGTCAGATCAGTGGTGGAATTAGCTTCTCATAGAAGCGTGAACTCTATTGGGAACTGTGCATGCACGGGATCTAGGTTGCCTGTTCCATATGAGAACCTAATGCCTGATGATCTGAGGTGGAACAGTTTCATCCTGAAATCATCCCCCTACCCTGGTCCATGGAAAAATTGTCTTCTGTGCAACCAGTCCATGGTGCCAAAAAGGTTGGGAACTGCTGCAACAAAGGATAAAATACTACTTTTATGACTAATAAAGCTGATCCTGTGGAATGTAGTTTATACCTGTGGGAAAGTGAGTTTCTAAAAGTGAACCGCAGAATCAGACAGAGTTACCTGCAAGTCACAGGTAGTACTGGAGAGCTGCAGGCTTCTCCTCCTACCTGCCATCCTTCCTGCCTTTCGCCTTTCCCCCTAACATTTATAGGATAGAGAGCAGAGCAGCGAAGGTGCCAAGCTACACATATCCAGTTCTTGTCTCCCAGATTGCCAACCAACCCAGGAAAAAGACCCAGTATTACACTGAAAGGTGTTCTTCCACAGAGAAACACCAGATCAGGAAAAAGGAGGGCCTTTCCCTCAAAAAGCCCCTATAGTCAGCTCAAGATGAACTCCCAGGCAGTGTGTCCTGATTGTATGAATTTTAGGTACAAGATATATATTTGGATACTGAAAAGGAATGATATCTAAAAAGAATGGCATGTGAATAGGTGGTATAGCCAACTCTGTAAACTAGCTATTGTCAAGCTAGATTGGCTAACTAAGCCTAGTGTTAGAGATGTCTCTCTGTCTCTGTGTGTCTCTGGTGTATAGTACGGAGTTTGATGTGATTGTGGACACAGAAACCCAGGTGACCTCTTGAGGAACTACTTTCATCTCTAAGATTCAGCAAGTTATCTGCTTTCTAGCTCACAAAGTAATAGATGTAAAATGCTGAGCACAGTGCCTGGTACATAAGAAACATACTTAACATGGGGAAATAGTTACTTTATTTTGATTTGAAAATGGTTATAAAATAGTGTGCTAAGTATTATTCCAGGTATGCAAAATTCAACGAATAGTTATTCAGTTCTTCTAGATGCTGTTGTAGGAACTGGAATATAAGAACTAGGAAGAAAAGAACATAGGATTGCTTTGTGTCTCATTTAATTTTGTATCATAGAATAAATTGGTGCTTCTTGCTGTGATGTCCTCTATGACTAGAAAATGCTTTTTATTTTTCCTAATTATTTTTGGGAAGCCAGCAAGTGACTGTACAGATATCTGCCTGCTGATACCTGAGTGGGTGCCCTCTTTGAGCCAGTCCGAATAGCCCTGCCTACCTCCTTCTGTGGATGAAGACAGTGCTTAGAAAGAACTCATTTATCTTCCACTCCAGCTCACAAACAAGGATTCGTACTGAAACACATTAATTGAGCTTCCTATGGCACTAATGTGATCCAAGCCCAAAACTGCTTGGAATCCTGCTTTTCTGGAGAGCTCTGTATGGGGGAATCATTGTGGTGTTCCTTTCCTTCTTCAATGCCTTGTCGTTTATCATTGTATTGGATCTTTTGGAATTTTATTTTAAGGAGAGAGATGTAGAAATATAATTTCTGGTCTGGGTGTGGTGGCTCACACCTGTAATCTCAGCACTTTTGGAGGCTGAGGCGGATGGATCACTGGAGGTTGGGAGTTGGTGACCAGCCTGGCCATCATGGTGAAACCCCGCCTCTACTAAAAATATAAAAATTAGCTGGGCATGGTGGTGGGTGCCTGTAATCTCAGCTGCTTGAGAGGCTGAGGTGGGAGAATTGCTTCAACCCGGGAGGTGGTGGTTGCAGTGAGCTGGAATTGCACCATTATACTTCAGCCTGGCTGACAGAGTGAGACTCTTATCTCGAAAAGAAAAAGAAAAAAAAGAAAGAAATACAGTTTCTGGCCCATGTGTGCATTGATCATGTGAGTCAAATTGGTGAATTCCTAAACTGGATTTTGGCTCTGGGATCCTTTAGCAATGGATGAAGTTTGAAATCTGAGTTGGCATGGTCTGCAGGCCGTGGTCGGCAGGGCCTGTCTTGGCCCCTGCTCTTTACTGTCCACTATGTGGTCTAAGGTAAGTCTTTAGGTCTTTGTACCTAAGTTTCTTCCATAAAATCAGCTGGGATTTTCAACCTATTTCCTAATTGTTTTACAAGTAAGAGATCTGCACTTAGAAAATGATTTAAACAGGAGAAATCTCTCCCTGAATAGTCACTGTGAAAGTTTTATTCTAGCAAGAAGAGAAATTCTGGTGTGATAACCCAGCACCTGAGGGAATAAGACCATTTACACAATGAATTAATACTTGTACCTATTCACTCCCAAGTCTTTACTTCCATAGCCCCTCAAATGAGAATGCAAATTACTGACCAACCTTTTGATATTCCTTTCAGGGACACCTGTGTGGTTCTTTGTGAAAATTGCTCCAATTCGAAATGAACAGGATAAAGTGGTTTTATTTCTTTGCACTTTCAGTGACATAACAGCTTTCAAACAGCCAATTGAGGATGATTCATGTAAAGGTTTGTAATTCTGACTTGTACAAATACGTTTATGCCTTTTTTTGGGTCTTTAGTGTGGCTCTTATTACAGAGAATTTGAGGTTGTCAAGGCAATCACTTCACAAACCTCAAGATTCAAACTTTAATTTGTATAGAGCAAAGAACTGTGTCATTCTGGAATGTGTGGGGGGAGGAGAAGGGGAGAAAAACCACTTTGTTTAGGAAAGCATTTGAATCAATTTCACACCTTTAATAATTAACCCTTTCCATTATTAGGCAGAAGAAGATAGTTTGGCAACTCTAGTATCATCAGAATCCTTTTAAGTTTTCACATAACAAATGTCAGTCATACAAATGGGACAGTCCATGGCTACATTCATCTACTTTATATATAAACATTCTTAGATTTGACTGAAATCTAGTGCTTCAAGATTGTTAAAGCAGACTTTAGTGCATCTTTGCATCTGTGATTGATTAAGTCAGTGACTGGTTAATTCATTTGGAACATGACATTAATGAAGCCAGGGTCCTGAGTAACATTTCTATATGGGTCATTTACTCAGCGGTGTGATCACAGACTTTAGCACTTGCAGCCATATCATATGCATGTGTTGTTAGCGTAGCATGGGGGACCCAGAAAAGGAGATGGCTCAAGATTTCTGGAACAACTATACCCCTGGAGAGGTCCAGCTCATCAGGATATATAGAAGATGGCATGTTAGTCCCAGAGGTTTGGGATTGGGGGTGACATAGCACCTCTTTCACATCTCTTGTTCATCGCTTACATTCAAGATAACCAAGAGGCTAGGAGCTTTTTCATGTTGCAGTGCTACCTGGCTCTATGGTTGATTTTTCAGCTCTGCTGGAGAACTCTGCTCCTTGTGGTTTTCTGAGATGTACCAAGGAGATGAGAGTGGGGTCCAGGGGAGAGTCAAACTGAGGCACATTATTTTTGATGTGACAAAATTTTTGTTGTTAAATGAGCATTGCAGGAGGAAATAAAAAGCATTATATGGATGCTTCCTCAAGGGCTGTGTCCTATGAGGGTATTTAAAATCCTGGCACATTTAGACACTCGCATTTATGGAGTTCAGAGCACAGTGCTGTTTATACCAGTGCATCCTATTTTTTAAAACTGTGTGATAGCTCAATAAATCAATTTCAGCCTGCCTTTTGGTTTTAAGACTGCAGCAGATGCAAAGTCTCTCAACCAGTGTGTCAGCCACCTAAAGTCTCTCTTTTCCCAATTTCTAGTTTCTGACTTGGAGATTTCTCAGTGCAGTAGATATTTTGTGGCAGTGGGTTCACTCATGATTAAGTATCATCTTGTTACCATATAGAAAGGTCAGTTGCTTTTTTAACTTAATAAACTCACAAGTAATATTTTGAAGGCAATTAAATATTTTGACATTTATTTTTGCAAGTTTTCCCTTAAAAACTTAATATATGTGATTTGATTGAATCACATTGTTTTGTTTTTATTACCCCTGGAACATTCGTAGGTGATGTGCTGGTATTATTTAGAAGGAAAAGCATACCTAACAGAATGCTCTTTGCCTGCTATGTAGGTGTCTGTATTTGATGCTCACAAAACCGGAAGGGAGATGAATCAGATGATATAGTGAGACGTATGTAGGTTTATTTTCCAGGAATAAAATACTCCACTTCATTTAACCTGGCTAATGAATGTATTTTCCTTGCTGAGAAGAGTTTTGGTACATACACATACATACTTACAGACACTCATGAGGACATATACACACATTTAGTCTGTTTCTTCGTAGCTGAGGAGACCAGATATTAATTCTATTAGTCAGTGAAATAAATAGGAGTAACTTGTGGCTTGATTCATAAAAATTTGACACACACACATATGTTAGCCCTCGATGTAGGACTCCTGCTAGTGGACCACGCTTAATGTCTCCTCAAAGACTTGGCTTTATAAGCCTATACATTTCATATGCCATGGCAGATACCTTCAGATCTTCCCACTTGCCAGATCCTCGTGCCCCTGGCCCACTGTGGTTTGCTGGTCTGCTTAGGACAAGTCAAACTTTTATATTAGTGTGTTTGTGATGGAAGCACATGATAGTTGCTCTAGGTCTTGTTACTTTAAGCCTATAAACTGTAGTTTTGGCTACAGGGATCAAATCTGGATCCTAGAAACTGTGCTGCCATGTGGCTGGATTATTCACCTGGCTTAACATTTCTTCTTGGATGTGCTCTCAGCAGCTCGTTTCTAGCAGACCAGCTGGGTTTTCAGTACAGCACCTCAGTCACCATTAAGAGTCTTAAGAGTCTTGCTGACTTAGGGCTTGTTTACAGTTCACTTTGGAGATGGAAAGGAAATGTGAATAATCTAAATCCCGAAACATTTTTTGGATAATTGCTCTTTGGCATAGCCCCATGGGATGTTTACCCACCACCATATTAGCCTTTTAAATCAGTTGTGCTCCAATTGTCTTTAAAATTACTTTGTTTTCTCAGATCATGTAGTACCTAATTTTGGGACTTAGAGGTGTGGTGGGTGCATCCTGCTAATGATGCCAGAAGCCAGTTTGTGCCCCACATTTTCTGACTAACCACCCACAAAGGGTCCAACACATGGGATAATTGACAGTAGCCTATTTCAGGATCTGACACAAAGTAACTTCTCTTCTACCCAGAGCCTCAAGCACAGGGGATGGGTCCTGGAAGTGCTTCCAGAGCCCGGTGTCATTTGGTGTACCAGTTCTCACCATCCTTTTTATGAGCTAGGTGGGCCTTTGACTTCCTCATCTTCACTTAGCTCTCTGTCTTTTGACAGTAATTCTGTTACTCTCTGATAAATAGTGCTCATGAATGGTATGGAGCAGGGAATGAAAGTTAAGCTGGGTTTGCTGTTTGCTAACAGCTCTGGTTGTGTGTGTGTGTGTGTGTGTGTGTGTGTGTGTGTGTGTGTGTGTGTGTGTGTGTTTAAAGGCTGAATGAGAGAGTAGGTAGGAATTCCGGCCTAAAAGGAGAATCTGTGATGCTCCAGTGATTTCATTTGTTTCTTATCTGTTGCTTTTTCTTTTGTTACAGATAATTGGGAGTAGGCTGTGGGGCATGTTTCTGTCCCATTCTCTCTTCTGAGCCAGGAGGGTTGGACAAATGAGTAGAGAATTAGAGTGTAAAGCTCAGAATTTTCTCTCTTTACATTGTTCACCAAAGGATGAGTCAATCTTCTTGTTTTCTCTATTATCCCACCAACAAATCTCATATTAAAGGAACAAATTTGTTTTCAAAGATTCACATGTTTACTTCTAAATTCATAGTTAAACTCAAGCCAAATACAGACAACAAAAGGAATGAAAAACTTAGAACAGGTCTCTAAGAGCCACGGATTTAGAATATTGAAGGATGAAGGCTCTGGCGAATTGTTGTAACTGTTGACCCTTCTCCATGTGTCTCCATGTTGGACGTGGGAGAAATAGTAATAGACATAAGTCACAGGCCCCACCCCCCTCTTCAATGTTAACATTTTATGTCTCTGCCCTGGGTTGGTGGGAAAGTGATGATTTAGTGACTGCTACTTGAAGAAGTCATTTTAGATTTTTGGTTATTTGTACATTGGTAAGGAAAAGATTGTGGGAGGAGTCTTGAGGATGCTCAGGCAGTGGTCCACGCTGACTCTCCATGCTGCACCCTATGTCCACTGTTCTCTGCTGGATGTTTGGATTATGCTATTAGCTCCTCTGAATTTCTTTTTTCTTTTTCTGAGACGGAGTTTTCCTCTGTCGCTCAGGCTGGAGTACAGTGTGGCTTGATCTCGGCTCACTGCAACCTCCACCTCCTGGGTTCAAATGATTCTCTGGCCTCAGCCTCCTGAGTAGCTGGGATTAGAGTAGCACACCACCATGCCTGGATAATATATGTGCTTTTAGAGATGCGGTTTCACCACGTTGGTCAAGCTAGTCTTGAAGTCCTGACTTTGTGATCCACCCACCTCGGCCTCCCAAAGTGCTGGGATTACAGGTGTAAGCCACCATGCCTGGCCTCCTCTGAATTTCTGAGTCTGTATCTCAGGACAAGGCTGGTCTCTGTCTCTTTGGTATCCCTGGACTTATTCTCAGAGGAGTTGGAATTCTAACTCATCCCAGCACCATCTCTTCTGGTCTAAAAAAGAAAGATTCAGGCTCATCAGAGGCTAAGCCAAGTTGATACCCACCAGCCATTGTGGAGTCAAGACAGGAGAAAAGCCAGCCTTTCTGACAGTGGAGAAAAGACCCAGTAAATACCTTTCAGCTGATTGCTAGATTGTGTACTGTGTTCCTCCTTCTCTCTATTACCTTCCTCTTCTCCTCCTGCCCACTTCCCCTCTCATTTTCCTGATCATGTTATGCGTTCAATTTTCTCATGGCATCCACAGTCCTGCTATGCCCAACTTGCTGGTGACATTTGTGACAGAGCTGTAAGAATCCTGGGCCAGGGGTTTCTTCATTTGAGCTCAATTCAGTGTTGGACTCCCAAGTGGGATATAATTGCAGGAGTGGATACAAGAATGCCTGGGAAAAGAGAGGAACAGAAATATCCCTTGAAACTGAAGAGAGTTTGTGAAATGGGCTGCTTATCCTTTGGGACTTTCTGTCTATTGGAAACCCTGACAGAAGTAGGGTGGTGAGAGGAAAAACATATTTGCTCTTTATGTGTCCAATACACCTATTGTATACACCTGTTGGGTGCCTGGCCTCATGCTAGGTGCTGGAATGGACACTAGGAAATGCCTGTGATAGAGCCTCTGAGTCTACTTGTGAGAAGGGATAGACAGGTAAGCAAATAAAACAGTAAAGCATAATCGATGATCTAATATATGCCCACCTAAATTAAGTGGGGGTTCACCATAGGGTGCAGGTAAGCCTGCTAGGGGTAGGCCAGTATCTGGAAAAGGCTTCCTTAAAGGATGATGGTACATTCATTGACATTGGGGGGGATGTCAAAACCCCTGCAGAGTCCGTGCTGTCCCCTCCTGTGAACAGTAGTGGGACCCCCACAGTCAAACCACTATGTGTATCTTTTCAAGCCAACCCCAGCAGTTCCACATTTCTGCTTCATGGCATCAGGGTGGATGAAAGCACTACTGTTTTTTTTTATTAAAGCCTGGCACTTCTGGAATGAGATAAAAAAGAGTTGATTTGCTATTCTTATGATATTGACAAAAATTTATCCAGTTTATGATTCTCTAAAGTTGTATAGAAAAATAAAACCTGGACATGCTTCTGCTTAACTCCATTGTCCTCTGGATTCTAAGTCTACCTTGAAAAGTTGCTCCAGGGTAAAATTTGGCAGATGAGATTTCTACTGGAAGGTGCTGAATGCTTCTAAATTCTAAAGGATATAAAAAAATAAATTCACCTAGTCCTGCTTTTAGTTGTCATGTAAAAATAGTTGCATGCTCTGTTTATTTGCTGTATATCCCACATCTGGGTTTTTGGAGCTCCTAAAACCCAAGCCTGGTCTTGACAATCCTGACAGGACTTCAAAGGTCTCATGGGGCAACTGCCATGGTCATAACCTTGATGCAGATGAATTGTTGGATGTTGGAATGGACAGTTGTCTTAGGGGGCATTTAATAGGTGTCAAGATCATTCAGACATCTTCGATTCTCAGTCAGCACCTGTCACCAACTGTCTGTCTCCCATCTCAAAGCAGACTAAAAACTGCCACTGCTTTCCCCCACCTACCCAGGGGTTGAAATCATTTCTTATTCCCCTGGCCTTGGAGAAGGTAATGCATAGAATGGCCATTTGACTAGCTTGTCCATTTAAAGTCCAGAACCAGCTGTTTCTCAAGATCAGATAGTGGGGGGATTGGGAACATCCCGAGCCAAGTTACCAAGTTAGAGAAACATCTCAATTACCTGGTATTATCTTGTGAAGAAGGCTTGGGTCAGAGTGGAGATATCGATGTTCTAGACTCTTTCGGATTGTCCAGGCACTCTATTTGTAAAGTGGTACTAAAACCTGCCCTACCAGCTTCACAAAGTATGATTAGGATGAAATGAAAGTGCAGGGGGAAAGCAAATTGCCACACACAAGGTGCTTTTCTGAGCAGTGGGTTTTGCTTGCAGGGATGCAGAGTGACTCGTGGGAGCTCAGGAGGGGATTGCGGGTGTCTTGTTTCTGGCAGCATAACTTGTAATGTGAATGTCTGTGCACCTTTGGGATTTGGTTGACCCTGTCTTTTCACTCTTCCACTTGCTTCAGGCTGGGGAAAGTTTGCTCGGCTGACAAGAGCACTGACAAGCAGCAGGGGTGTCCTGCAGCAGCTGGCTCCGAGCGTGCAAAAAGGCGAGAATGTCCACAAGCACTCCCGCCTGGCAGAGGTAAGGGCAAGGGGTTAGCTCATCTCAAGCCTCACTTTTAGGGGGCGCATGGGCTGAGGAAATGGCAGAAAACTAGTGTGCTATCATGGAGAGGACCTTCAGGACCCACAGATGCCTGTCTTGGCTGGGCTTACACACCACCAGGTATGACATTGGGTAAGTGACCTAACTCCTTTGAGCTTTGTACTTTCCCATGTGCAGAAGCAGGCTGGAAGAGCTCTGTTCCAGCTTGCTTGAGATTAAAAGTGTCAAATCACTTTTTTGAGGAGCTAGAAGTGCTTCATGTACATGCAGGAGTTTTTAAACAATTTTGTTGTTAGAGCAATACATACTGTTATAGGCAAAGAAGATACAGGAAGTGAAAAGAAAGTAAAAATTATCTGCAATCCCAACAACCACAGGGCATTTTACACCTTTTTGGTGTGTGCATTTAACTCGTTTCTTTGTAGATATCCTATTTCCTAAACACTAGGAAATTCATTTTTTTACATGTTAACTGTTATGAAATTGAGATACATCTAAGAATAGTGTTACATTAAATGTGATTGTGTTGCCTTTTCTTCACTTTATAATCATGAACATTTTAACAGGTTAATAAATATATGTAAAATTATTATTATTTTGATAATCTTTGTAGTAAGGAAAGTTTGACACTCTTCTTTTTGCTGGGACAAGTGAGAGGTTGGGAAGCCTTGACAAGGTATCTTATTAGGCTTAATGCACCCAGCTTATCATTATCTGCCTTTGATGGTGCCTGGTCTTTATTTTTTCAACTACACCTGGGTGGGATCAGTTAGAAGCATTATACTTTCTAGACTCCAAACTTCCTTCTTACCAAAGATGACAAGTAAACTGTCCATAGCCTGTAGATGGCTCATCAGTCTTTGATCCATGTTTGGACGGTGGGACCCTTTCTAACCTGGCTCCAGGGTTCCACACCCCTAGTGGAGACACAACCAGCATGATGCAGCTCACAAAGAATATTCTGAGTATGTGCAGTGTCAAATGAGTTAACTACAGAAGGTCTTGTGGTAACCAGAAGCTTTTGTCAACAGTGGAGATGGGAGCATTCATTTGTACCATTTTAGAGAAAGAGAGATATTTGGATGATGGTCGCATCATTTTTTGTCATGATGTGGGTTTGGCTTATGATATAAAGAATACTAAAGGAGACCTTTCAACTCACAGCCTGTGCTTTCTCTGCTGCTTCTTACGGTTAATAGAAAAACCTCCTCTCCCACCGCTCTCCCCCTTGCTCACTCTTATTCGGCACACTGGCCTTTTTGCTGTTCCTTGTACACACCGTGCTTAATGGCAAGTCTTTTCCCAAATGTCATTTTCTCTATGTAGCTAACTGTATCAGTCAGGGTTCTACCAGAGAAACAGAGCCAGTGGGATACTTAATATTAAGAGATTTATTGCAAGGAATTGGCGTCTGTGATTGTGGTGGTTGGTTACTTGTGTCCAAAATTCACAGGGCAGGTTGGCAGACTGGAAACCCTTGGGAGGAGCTGATGCTGAAGTTCACAAGCAAATTCCTTCGTCCTTAGGGAAACTCAGTTCTGCCTCTAAGGCCTTTCAGCTGACTGGATGAGGCCCATTCATATTACAGAGGATTATATCTTTTCCTGAAAGTTGACTGATTGTAGAAATTAATCACATGTACAAAATACTTTTACAGCAACACTTAGCATTGGCTTAAATACCTGGGTACTAGCTAAGTTAATATGTAGAACTATTACAGTTCACCCTTGTCAACTTGACATCCATACACATTTTCATAATCCATACTTAATCTCCAGATAAGTCAATAAGAAAATTATACTTCCATCTAACGTGATACAATGCTTCTATGTACAATGGAAAATATGCCAGCCTTTTCCCCAAAAGAGGATGTAAAGTCCTTGGTGATATTCATTTTCCTTCTTCCTCTCCTGTAATTCCAATACTGTGAGGTAAAATTAACTATTATTAATACATTTATGTTGTGTGATAAGAGGATAAGGGATGAAAATAATGGTATTTTTTATATATGCATATATATATTCATACCAAATTAAGAAAAAATTATAATTCCTAGTCCTCTTTTTAGTCTGATCTATGCTTTCTTTTGCTTGATAACTTCTAATGTACTATACAGTTTACTTATTATGTTTATTCAGTGATAAATATCAATCACTTAGAACAGTGTCTGGCACATAGTAAGTACTCAGTATTAATTTTTTTTAAATTGGTGAATTGAATGAAAGAAAGGAAACAATGTTAATGAATTTTAATCACCTGTCTGGCATAAGTGGTTGCTCATTGCCAATATAAGGCAAACATTTGGGTCTCATCTCAGGGACTAGTAAGTTTTAGTCAGCCTGGCTAGAGGCTTATCGATTTTTATGGATCTTTTCAAAGAATGAGCTTTTGGTTTTGTTGAGTTTTTTTCTATCAATTTTTTTTTTGCTTTCAATTTCATTGCTTTCTGCTCCAATTTTTTTTTCTTTTCTTCTGCTTACTTTGGATTAATTTGCTTTTCTTTTTTAGTTTCCTAAAGCAGAGGCTTATTGATTTTTGATTTTTTTCTTTTCTAGTATATATATTTAATGTTAGAAATTTCCCTCTAAACACTGCTTTTGCTGCATGCCACAAATTTTAATTTGTATTCTCTTTTTCATTTAGTTAAAATATATTTTATTTTCTTTTGAGAGATATTCTTTGGCCTATGTATTATGCAGAAGTATGTTGTATAGTCTCCAGGTAGTTTTGGATTTTCTAGCTGTTTTCTCTAACTGATTTCTAGTTTAATTCCATTGTGGCCCGAGAGCAGACGTTGTATGATTTCTATTCTTTTGTTAAGGCTTATTTAGTGGCCCAGAATGTGATCTGTCTTGGTGAATGTTCCATGTGACCTCTAGAGAATGTGTATTCTGCTATTGTTGTTATAGATGAAGTAGTCTATACATGTTCATTATATCCAGTTGATTGATGGTGTTATTGAGTTCAACTATTTGCTTCCTGATTTTCTGCCTGGTAGATCTGTCCATATCTGATAGAGAGGTATTGAAGTCTTTAACCATAATAATGAATTCACCTATTTTTCCTTGCAGTTGTATCAGTTTTTGCCTCACATTTTTGATGCTCCATTGTTAGATGTGTACACTTTAAAGACTGTCTTTTTTGAGAATTGACTCTTTTATCATTATAATGCCCCTCTTCATCTCTGATAACTTTTCTTGCTTTGAAGTCTGCTCTGTCTGAAATTCATACAACTACTCCTGCTCCTGCTTTCTTTTGATTCCTATTAGTATGATATATCTTTCTCCATCTCTTTACTTTTTAATCAATATGTCTTCATATTTAAAGTGACTTTTGTAGATGACATTTAGTTGTTTCTTCATCCAGTGGGACAGTCTATATCTTTTAATTTGTATATTTAGGCCACTGAGGTTTAAAGTGATTATTGATATAGTTGGATTAATATCTCTGGTATTTGTTGCTATTTTCTTTTCATTGTCCTTTTTCTTCTTGTCTTCCTTTTTCCACCTGTTTTGTTTTTAATTGAGCATTTTATGTGATTCAATTTTTTCTCCTTTCTTAGCAGCATATCAATTATACTTCTTTAAAAAATTTATTTTAGTGGTTGCTCTAGAGTTTGCAAAATACATTTACAACGAATCCAAGCCCCTTTTAAATAATGCTGTACTAAATACCTTTCGATAGGGAGATATTCCTAATTCCTCTCATTCCTCGTATCATTGCTTTAACTCATTTCATGTATATATAACACACACACACATATATATGCATGCACAATCGAATACATGTTGCTATTTTTTGATTAAACTATCATTGGTTAGCTTAAAAACAAGTCAAGTAAAAGCTTCATTTTATCTTCACTTATGCCTTCTCTGATGCTCTTTCTTTCTTCATGTACCTCTCAGTGTCTGACCTATACCATTTTCATTCCCTCCGAAGGACTTCTTTTGACATTTCTTACAAGGCAGGTCTACTGGCAACAAATTCACTCAATTTTTGTCTGAGACAATTTTTTTTTTCTTTTTCAGAGATGGAGTCTCCCTACCCAGGCTGGAGTATAGTAGCATGATCTTGTCTCACTGCAATCTCCGCCTCCTGGGTTCAAGCGATTCCACTGCTTCAGCCTCTTGAGTAGCTGAGATTACAGGTGCATGCCACCCCACCTGGTTAATTTTTGTATTTTAAGTAGAGATAAGGTTTCACCATGTTGGCCAGGCTGGTCTCACACTCCTGACCTCAGGTGATCCTCTCGCCTTGGCATCCCAAAGTGCTGGGATTATAGATATGAGCCATTGTGCCTGGCCTTTTCCTTTACTTTTGAAGGATAATTTCACAGGGTACAGAATTCTAGATCGGTGTTTTTCTTTTCTCCTCTCAACTCTTAAAAATCTCACTCTGCTTTCTTCTTGCTTGCATGGTTTCCAAGAATTTGGATGTCCAGTTGACCCTTGAACAATGTGGGTTTGACCTGTGTTAGTCCACTAAGATGTGGATTTTTTTCAGTAAGTATATTGAAAATTTTTTGGAGATTTATAATGACTTGAAAAACATGGAGACCAACTGCATAGCCTAGAAATATTGAAAAAATTAGGTATCTCATGAATGCACAAAATATGTGTAGTTTATTACCATAAAATATACACAAATCTGTTATAAAAAGTTAAAATTTATAAAAACTTATGTACATAAGCACAGAACACTTACAATGCAAAGATGAAGTATTAAATAGTAACTGCATAACATCAACTAAAATACATACTTTACTACTGTAATAATTTTATAGCCACTGCCTGTTGTTCTTGCTGTGAGCTCAAGTGTTATGAGTATCCACTTAAATGTTGTGATGTTAATCTTCTCCTCCTGAACGGTTCTTCTCTCTAGTAAATTTTATATAGCAGTACAAAGTGATCTCTCAAGGTTCTCATCCTTGAGATGAGATCTCTAGCGTATTTTTGTAATCGTGTTTAGTAGGATAC